GCATGAGCAGCATAAATTCAGTCAAGCATAAATTCAACTAGCCTGCCAACATTTCATGTAGGTGTTATATTAGCTTGAAATATGGGCCCTACACGGGTTTATCCATGGGTTGTCGGCCCTATCTGAATAAGCCCAAGAAGGACAAACCTGCTATGTAGGGCCTATATTTCAAACCCATATTATGTCTACATTGGCTCCACCATTAAATGTTAGCTGGGTAGTCATGTACTGTCTCAGTCTCAAAGCACACAAGTTGCTGCTGTCAGGAGTTTGTGTTTTTTTATTTGACTCGTTATGACTTTGCACCTTCAGATTCTTGTGAATGCATCTCTGTTGTTCATAAAGGTTGTCTTAAATGGTTGTCAGTGGGCTTGTCACACAATTCACAAGTCGCATGAGGCTAAATGCCAGTGCAGACAGGTACGACAATAGAGCGTCCATCTTGGAGCATCTTTAGCATGTTCCCAAATCCCGAATATATCTTTGCAACTAGGAGTTCTCCTGATTACATTTGTCTTTCTTTCTCTGTTTATTTTCTTGGTTTGACATTTGCTTGTATTTACAAGAGAAAGAGGCAAAAGTTGATGCTTATTACTGGTTTAGTGAACACTAAAATTTAGTGAAATTTTTGTATACTTTGTCAGCATTTATTAAGCAAAAGAAAAAAAAAACACTCCAATTTTGTTTTTTCTAAATTGAATCTACTGACTAGATGATAAATGTATATTTATGAGAAAGAAGAGATGGAGAAATGGATGTAATCACAAGGCATGAACTCAAACAAACAGTCATGGCCTAAAATGGTCTGAGGTAAATCTGAAGATCTGGTTACCCTTTCGTCTGGGTTCACGTTCATTAAAATGCAGCAGTTCTCATTTTAAAGCTTCTTTTTCTTTTTGCTTCAAGCATGCTTCTTTTTCTCTCATTTTTTTTAACTCGCATTCCACTGCCATTCTCTCTCCCACTGTCACAGCTCGCTTTCTCAGTTTGAATTCTGCTCTGGTTCGGATCATTCGATATGTTTTCCTTTGAGGTACTGCCAGGCAGACTGGAGCAAAGTAGGATAAGAAAGTGCTTTTTTAACTTGGATAAGATGGGGAGGTAGATGATGTGTGTCTGGGAGATAAAAATAAGAAACGAAATATATGAGGAAGAGACGAATCAATGCATTTTTTTTTAACAGTGACAAAGAGAGTTGGGTAAAAGAAGGGTGGGGATTCTGCAGGAAAAAAAAGCACTAAGAGAATGTGGGAAAGTCATTTTCTATGGTAATACTGTTTCTACTGGACCTTAGACTACACAAACCTCAGAGGAATCTTGTGGATAATCACAGACTTTTGGGCAAGAAAGAAAAAAGCTAAACACTTTCTGCACTGCTGAATTCATTATTAACAACTAAATATTTCTGGGCATCTGCAGTGACTGTTTTTTTACATTGGGCTGTTTTGATTTGCAGTGGAAGTGTCTGTATTTTGATTTGTTGTCAGTTTTGACAGTTTTTACATGATTAATCACCCTCAAGCCATTTCAAACCATTATGACTTTTTCTTTTTTTGTGAAACACAACATTATCATAGACACAAAAATATCTTGAAAATAGTTCAAACAATTCACACACATTATTCAGAGTATTATGAAGCCATATGATAGTTTTTATTTTCACACACTTTAAAACCTGAGTCATAATATTAACTGAAATAGTCTCACTGAAAAAAAAAAAATCTCCTTTGCATATTTGTGAAATTAGTACCAATGGCCGTTCAACAAATGAGTTTTTTGGATGATTTTGAAGCATTCTTTTGATTAATCTTTTTTAATGAATCGGCCAGTCTGGTGAATGCATACCAGTCTGAATTATTCGTTATGAGTTTTCAAGTTCAGATGATCCAGTTGCAGTGGTTAACAGCTCACTGGAGGGGAAGATAATCAGTGAAAAATTAGCTAAAGCAGAAGCACTAAACAAATCGTGTGATGCTTTTAACAATGCTCGAATGTTCATTTGTTGGCTAAACTATTCATTTAAAGTGTCAGATTTCCTCAAGACACTCTTAGCTGTGTTCATATGTAATACAGTGTGCTCTGAAGCCTGTTTACAAATGCCAGTCTGTTTGACTTCCATGCTCTTTGTGGTTTGACTTATTTATCTGCTATTTTCTCCCTCTTCTGTTTCTTACATTTTCCTTTTGATCTGTCTTGCCTGTGTTGTGCTCTCTCTCACTTTTCACTTTTTTTGGCCATTCTCTCTTTTTAACCTACGTCTTCATCCTTTTTGGAGTTTTTTTGGACAGCGTCTTGTTTATCTGCAGGAAAAGGGAAGTTTGCTTCATCTGTAAAGCATCTGGCCAGCTGTAGCTAGAGCTCAACATTAGACAGCGAGCCATAGGGAGGAGACTGTTGTAGATTTAGGTCAGCCAACCCTCAACATCACCTCATTCCCCCTTCAACCTTCCCTCAACCCATTCTTTAACCAACCGGAATGTGTGAGTCCTTTTCTCTGTTTTATCTAAGCATGAAGAAAAAGACAACTGTCTGGATCCAGCATTGCCATTACATAAAGTTATTTCCTTTTTGGACTTTCCATAATTCTGTTTATCCTCTTATAGTCCAAAACTGTTTTAAACCAGGTGGTTCCAATCATGTAAATCCCTCACTTGCTTTCACGAGGATCTGGCATATCAATGATTGTTTAAAAGTTGCAAGGTTTGAGCATATTCATGTTCCCCTATGGTCTTTTAAGTGGGAGAGTCCAAGACACGTCCCAGTAGAAGTCCTGATCTGGATTGTTTGGCCCATAAATGCTTGTCTTTTATCATGAGCCCAAACTCAATGTCGTCATAAACATGTCTGTTCTTGAATCTGTTCATGGACAGTCAGGAAAAGATTGTTTCCCAAGATCTGGGAGATGTTTTGTTTCTTTTGAGCAATTATTATTATTATTTGTGGGTCTGAAGCTAAGCAAAACACATCTTTGCAACATAACCATAAATAACTGTTAGGGAAATAGAAATACTATTGTAAAGAAGCCTCCTTTGGGGTTTACAAGAGGTGAAAAATACAGAAATGAATGTATTTCTAAATTTTGCCATTTCAGAAAAAAAAAATACTTTGAATAAAAGTAACAACAACACAATATTGTGACAAAACACACTACACTGCTCTTTAGCACGGCTCTTGACTGCCAGTAACCAGTCATATCCGGCCTTTTATGAGGTCCTCTGAAAAACGAGGGTAGAAGATCCTTCAGCTGTTACTGATTACAGTAATCTACCATAAGATATTAGCCTGTGTTCCCCTCAGTGCTGTGGCTTCAAACATGCACAATAAGAGGTTAAGATTGAAATTACAGGGCAGAAACTGTTATTCACACAGTTAACAATTACTTAATGGAAGTGTTTTAAGCAGAAGTTGGCAGAATTTGCTTGTTCTTACAGAGAATTTTTGATGCATTAGAATGATAACATTGCAAATATCTGTATTTGGGGGATTAACATATATAATTTATAAATAATATTAAAATTATTACCATTTAAAATAACTGTTTTCTATTCCAATATATTTTAAAATGTAATTTACTCTGTAATTTTCAGCAGCATCACTTTTCATATTATTATCATCAATATTGAAAACAGTGTGGCTTTATTTTTTATTTTTTTGGAAACTGCAATTCATTTTTAGATTCAAGCATTAAGTTGAAATAAAAAATATTTTATAACATTATAAATGTCTCGTTTGATCAATATAATGCGTCCTTGTTGAATAAAAGTCTTTTAAATATCTTACTGACCCCAAAAGGTATATATATAGCTTTTATCAACCATAAAAAAATGTATATAAAAACTTCATAGCAATAAGATCTAGAAGCAAGAATATTTCAGATTTTCAGCTATGGCTCAAGATCCAAACAAAATAGTCTCTGAGTGATTTTCCACATCTCATAATACTTCTTTTCTAAGAACTATGATGTCATATTTAGTCATCTCCTGTCGTCATTTTAGGCTGCGTGTCTTTATTATGTCTGTATTCTAGACGAAGTGCTGCAACTTTGGCTTATTTATTTAATTTATAAAAAAAAAAATTGGTGGAAACAAAACGGCAAATTCCCTCAATAAACTAAACCACACAGTACCTCCCCATTTCCCCCCATTCCTCCCTCTGTTTTCCACCACTCTTCTTAAATCCATGTTTTACTGCCAGGAGAGAGAGAAAAAACAGTGGATCTCATTCTGGTTGAAAAACACGTGGCAGTTTCCGGTCTTTCTCACAGAATTTTGACTACTGTTAAGATAAGCAAGTGCACAAACTATGCTGCTGAAAACCAAGTATTTACATTCACATATATGATATTTTTGTCCAAAGCAACTTAAAATGCAAACCTTTAAGGAATTCTATCTTTATGTGGATTTTCTGAGAATCAGACATGATCTTGTGTTGCCAACACTGATCTCTCACCTCCAACATCTGTTCAGCCCTAGTTCCATCTGTGCTGATTCTTCAGCTGACATGACAATCCAGCTCCAATGAATATCTGGAAACTTTTTTTTGTTTTATAATAAATAAATAATCTAAAAGCATATTAAAAGTACCATTCAAAAGGTCACTAGGTTAAGATACTCTTCATAGGTATATTATTTTCTCTGTAGATTTTACTTTCTTAATACTACTTTTGTTCACTGTTGAAGTTATTTTTTGGACATAGTATTTTATGTAGTGTATTTAATATAGAATCCATTCTATATAAACTAATGTGGAGCCGAATACAGTATAAATAGCTCAGGAGCTTGGATGATAATGGTCTATTTGTTTTTTTTAGACTCTCAAGGCATGAAGTCAGAAAATGATTATATCTGTAATATATCTCCTTCTGAAGTGCTGAGTTTTGCTTTTTCAAAAAAATCTGTATAACCTTAAACTTTATAGTAACACAGGGCCCTCTGCTGGTTACTGAAAATGACAATAAGGCTCAAATTCAAGACCAAACTCTTGATCATTTTCTCTTTTAGACACCAATTTGGTGGAAGTGCCGCCACATGTCATCAACGTCATCTTGCCAGAGCAAAGGAGTCACTTTCTGCAGCAGCTCGGCTACATCCTGGCAACTCTCCTCCTACTGGCCCTTATTGTGTTGGCTATCGTTCTCCTCACACGTCACCGGAAAAGACCAGGTTTTTACCTTTTATTGGTCACTTCCATCTGTCATTTAGCATTTTATTGCTCTTATTTCAAGTGTCATAATGTTACTGTGGTAAAAAATAGCTCCTTTAATTCACCAAAAAAGTGTCTTTCAACCACATTATTTGTTATATGCAGGCAATATGTGACATTTGTATGCTCAAACATGATTTATGTTGCACTTTTTGTTTTTATAAAACATAGGCCGAGATTTTGATCCACGTAAAGTTGAAAGCCCACCGCTATCGACGGTGACGTATGTGTGAGTACCCACTGATGTTAAAATGCCTTCTGTGAGCATTAAGCATCAGCTGCCCTGAATAAAACATCCACTGTCCTGGTGTGTCATACATCTAGGGGCCACACATCAGGTGTCAAGAAAGACTGTGAGCGAAGCATCCCAGAGGTGAAGTCAAGCAACCAAGAGGAGACAAAGTTGGGTGAGTTTACTGTACATCAGATTTCCTCTCAAAATTATGCACTTGGACTTGGACAAATGTATTTTTGTTTGTCTCCTCAGACTACAAAAACAACCTTCTGAAGGAAGCTGAAATGTCCAAACTTTGCTCCCCAAAAGCCATTGACCTGGACAGAGGTAAAACGGACCCGATCGCGATTTATTTTCAGTCGTGTTTGTCTGAGAGGTTTACAGGCCCAACATGTAATTCACATTGAAAAATAAACCCCAAACTAAGTGCATGAAGACAACTAGACACCAAACAACTAGTTATCAAATGTGGTTCCGTTCATACTACACATATACCCTCGTTTACAGGTTTATACACTCTCAGAAAAAAAGGTCCAAAAGCTGTCACTGGGGCTGTACCTTTTCAAAAGGTACGCTTTTGTACCTAAAGGGTGCATATTAGCACCTAATATGTACATGTTAGCAAATAAATGTCCATATTAGCACCTAAATGTCCATATTAGCACCTAAAATGTACATGTTAGCAAATAAATGTACATATTAGCACCTAAAATGTACATATTAGAAGCTAAATGTACTTAGCACCTAAATGTACACATTAGAACCTAAATGTGCATATTAGCACCTAAAATGTACATATTAGAACCTAAATGTCCATATTATCACCTAAAATGTACATATTAGAACCTAAATGTCCATATTAGCACCTAAATGTCAATATTAGCACCTAAAATATACATATTAGCACCTAAAATGTACATATTAGAACCTAAATGTACATATTAGCACCTAAATGTACATATTAGAACCTAAATGTAAATATTAGCACCTAAAATGTACTTATTAGAACCTAAATGTCCATATTATCACCTAAAATGTACATATTAGAACCTAAATGTCCATATTAGAACCTAAATGTCTATATTAGAACCTAAATGTCCATATTAGCACCTAAAATGTATATATTAGAACCTAAATGTACATATTAGCACCTAAATGTACATATTAGAACCTAAATGTAAATATTAGCACCTAAAACGTAATTATTAGAACCTAAATGTCCATATTATCACCTAAAATGCATATTAGAACCTAAATGTCCATATTAGCACCCAAAATGTCCATATTAGCACCTAAAATGTAAATTTTTTAACCTAAATGTACATATTAGCACCTAAAATGTACATATTAGAACCTAACTGTCTATATTAGCACCTAAATGTCCATATTAGCACCTAAAATGGACAAAAGTTTACCTTTTGAAAAGGTACAGTCCCAGTGACAGCTTTTGTACCTTTTTTCTGAGTGTATACAAAAAATCAAATTGCATTCATTAATTAGACTTTTACTGTACATTGTTAATTATTTTAAACTTTCTATTCATCAAAGAATCTTGTATATAAAAAAGTGTCATGTTTCGATTAGAGAGGAGATTATATTGTAATAATGCTTCACAATCACAATATTACTGTTTACCAAATAAACAGCATTGGTGAGCAGAGAAGGTCTCTTTTAAAAACATTAAAAAAAATCTTACCAATCTCAACATTTTTTCTCTGCAGAGATGGAGAAGCCATCTTGGAAATAAGCGGTACCTTGCCACTGGCTGGTCCAGGGGGAGATTTGGAAATCAGGAATTCATGGAAGAAGAATGAAATGTGTACATGCGACAATATGGCAAGGAAATAAGACAAAAGAAGGAGAGATTTTTTTCTGACTCAAGATCCTCTACCTTTTTTGGCTCTTATGAAGCTTGCGGGAAGCACCAGAGTATCACCAGCAATATTTTGGACAACTGATATATCAGCTGTTTTAGAGCACAAAAATGACAAGCAAGAAGCCTAAAAAATATGAAAGAACATAGTCTGCATTTTTTTTTTTTACTGAATTTGCCCAATGCTGCCATGCACGCTATGAGTGAGTTTTTTTTAACTAATTTTTTTTCTCCATATTAGCTTTCTCAATAGATTGAAGCTGTGCTTTCTTAAAGCTACAATTCGTAAATCTAGCATTCTTTTATGCAGACACCTGATAACCTTTACTGTATTATATGAACAGCATGATTATTAAAAGGTACGTTTTTGTTCTTAATGAAATCATAGCCAACTTGGTAGACAGTTTAGACAAAATATTTTTATTTTGTAAGTCTTCATAATATTCTAGACCAATTTAAATCAGTATGTTTTCTCATTTTGATATTCTTTTCCTCTTACTCTTCTCTTACTAACCGTGTTACCACTAAAAAGCTACATAACATTACCTATCAAAATCATCTGTATTCTGTCATCTAGAAATACTGTCTGTTATCACCTTTTTCATGTTATCATTTGTATATTTTCATGTTACAAACCTTACTAATTGCTTTTGTCACGGTTTATTTGTTTTCATTCGTGAAGCTCTGTGCTAACAGGCAGCTTTGAGGTCATTTGCAACAAACAATTAAGTGTGAAACTGATGCTAAATGCATCAAAGTAACTGTACAACATGAAAATTATTCAATTTGAACAATTATTAAAGGTACACGATTCAACTTTTGGCCCTCTAGTGGTTAAAATAAACCCTGCATTTTGCGGAAGAACATTGTTTTGGTTGTGCTTTGCCTCTGCATGAATGTTCAGTTGAATATGGTTCTTTCTCATAAATAAAAAAGAAATAGATTATCCTACTGCTCGTAAAACATTCACTGGAGGTTCGAGATTTAGAGTGCTCTATGTCAACCTTTCTGCAACATTGTGACAACAAAAGTCGCTCCCACACCATACACGCGTCAACGTAGTCAGAGCAACTCTCTATTTACGCATATGACGAGACAAACATGGGTGAGTGTATGTATGCGATTTTATGCAAAAACCATCCCGCTCGGTCTAAAATATAAACGCTTATAATTTACCATAGTTCAAAGACAAATCAAAGACAAAAAGACGTTTTGGATGAAGGACTAATGTGGACATTTAAAGTGTTAATCATAAAAAGTTACATAGTGTGCCTTTAAAATGGCTATGCATAGCAAAGGTTATCAAGGTCAGGCTATGAAACAATTATTTTGCCCATTATGATGATTAAATGACACTCAGTCACGCTTTGAACTTCCTTAAAGTCTCCAAATAAGGATGTGTCGATGTCACATTGATTAAGGTTCCAAGAGGAATTTGCTGGCTAGACTACGGCTTTTGGTACATGAAGCCACATAATGGATACTTGATTATTCCCATCCTGAAGCAGATATTATCGATGATTTAATTTTCCAGTTCACTGTAAATGCTATCTCATTCAAAGCAGAATAAAATAAACACAATTTAACCTCTGAATGATCTTTTGCATGTGTCCGCCCTGTGCTGTAGAACATTTCTGATTCTGGACATGATCTCAAACTATATCTCAAGTACTTGATGTTTTGATACTGGAAATCATTGGTACAGACACTTGCTCATTCATGATTCAACAAAAATGCAGGAATGTCTGATTAACTGCATATTAAAATTGCTGCAATGTTTTGACAGACATTTCTTATAATTTTACCATCAGTTATATCAGTGCTGTCAAAACAATTTTACACAAATTTGACTCTTGCCATACTGCAAAATGTCTACCACATTGTTTTTCTAAATATGAAAATTATAAACATAAAAACTGGGGTAAATTAGCATTTTGAGAAATTAATTGTTTTCCTAGCATGAACCATGTATGTGCTTAAAGCTGTTTTCCTCGAGATACCTTCAAGTGCGATCAAAAATGAGCTTAGCCGATGTCCATCGTATGTAGATTGATCATCGACGATATCTACAAGGTTTTTTTTTGTTTTGTTTTTTTCTCACAAACATTCGGCTATTAATATTGAGTAAAATGGCAACAATAAAAACAGCTACCTAGGTTATAGCCGTCATTTCATACCGCTTCCTCCAACAAGCGACTGTAATGAGACCTGCGTAGTGGATGAGACCTGTTTACCTGTTGATGAATCCACTGACTGAGAGTGCATTCTGTCTACCACGCGATGGCGGCACTGCGCAGGAGAACGGCTCGGATATTCCAGGCTGATTCTCTCTCAAGGATGTGAACCTTTCCTTCCTGTTTCAGTAACACGGGCAGCAAAACCTCCGCATAGTGAGCTGCAATAGATATCTAGCAGGTCTACATAATGGCAGTGTTCTTATCCTTATCATTACAAAGTCGCTTACTTCACAGCTTCAATCGCGCTAAATGCGTGATTGTATTAATTTAGCATCCATTATTATAGACATTTTATTGTCGCCGCACGTCTGGATAGGCAGCATCAGGAACACGCGCCGTTCTCCGGCAATTGTTCCCACCATTCTCATGGCGGAGACTAAAATCATTTACCATATAGATGAGGAGGAAACTCCTTATTTGGTGAAACTGTCAGTGGCTCCAGAGAAGGTAACTTTGGCAGATTTCAAAAATGTCCTCAGCAACCGACCGGTTAACAGCTACAAATTCTTCTTCAAATCTATGGATCAAGATTTTGGGTAAGTGAGATGATGGGAATTGCCATTGTATTCACTCATTCGTTGTATTCAGTCCCCGATGCGACTGAAGCTGTCATCGTGGCAGAGATGATTTGTCATCATTGGCACCTGCCTGTCATCTGTGATGGCTGTATCATCTCCTCCTTTGTGGGATCAGCATCAGAATACAGTCATGCTCGTGGCTGTTAAATATGCTATAGCACAACATAACGTTACATCTCTTTGCTTCTTGCATTTGCATTTTAAACCGTTTTGTTTTCATGGTAGCCGAAGTTTGACCTTTAGCAAGAGGAAGGAAAACACAACCAGCAATAACGGACACTTGTCAATAACAGGCAAACAATGTCATGATTCTGACTTATTTTCGGCCAGCTTATGAAATCTTGCTTTACAACCTTGTTAAAAAAAAACATCACCAGGTGATTCTCTCAACTGGGCCTGTTGGCTGGATTTAGAGTGATTTCCCAGCTGGTCAGACTTGGAGACCATCTTAAACCAACTAAGACCAGCAAACCATGAGAAACATTATCCTTTCTAGTATTGCCGTCCATATGAACAGCTGACACTTTCCACAAATAAGATACAAAATAGTGCTTAAGTATGTATTGTTCTTTTTTTCATTTTCAACAAATGGTCAGGGAAAAGAGATCATTCTGAAAATGAAATGTTTGACCTCATGACAAATTGTTGTGTACAAAACACGGGGACTACTGAATACGAAGATTTCATTCATTTAAATGAGTTTATAATGGTTATATTTTTACTGTGATTAATTAAATATCGATTTATTAGATTGTCAAAAAAATGTGAGTGTCAATATTGAGTAAATTATTTTTATTATTGTATACAGTCAAGTCACCTTTATTTATGTAGCGACTTAGACAATACACATTGTTTGAAAGCAGCTTTACAGTGATAACAGGAATTTGATTCAATTATACAAACTTAGTTAATTTTGGCAGAGCAGCAGCTGTAAAATAAAACAGTGTCATTGTCCAGCTGAAGTCAGTTCAGTGTTGATTCAGTTCTGTTGAAAAATCATCATTTATTAAATTAGTTAATTTCATATATAAAGCAGTTCTGTGGAAAACAGTGATGTCATCATCCAGCTCAGTTCACTTCTGATCCAATAGTATCAGTGCTGTTAAATCAGTATAATATTGTTAAATATTAAGTGTCCTAAACTAAGCATGCTAGAGGCGACAGTGGCAAGGAACCCAAACTCCATGAGATGACAGAATGGAGAAAAAAAAACATGGGGATCAGATATCCTCTTGCCAACGAATGGACACAGTGTGATTATGATTCAGGCTGCATCACAAGTCAGAAATCAGATTGTATATCAGTAGCATTCAAATATTTCTTCCAGCTCTTCCAGCTCCTTTTGCTACAGTCGAGATGGTCAAGACTACTGAAGTAGGACAAGGCAAAATCCCCTGAAGTACATGTTAGTGAAGACTGTGCATCCCCATGGACTAATGTATTATATAGTTTGATGCCTTTTATCAGTCCAAGTCTTTTACAGTAGCTGCTAGCACCCATCTGGCTTCATTTATGTGCACTCAAAAATGTCTTTGGTTTTAATGTAACTTAAAACCAGTATACTCAGATCCTGATAAAGATTCATTGCAAGGATTGTTGCCTCAGGCTATTAAGCAGAATGCCCCATTAGATCCTCATTAGCTAACAAAAGGTCATTAGCTTACAAACTGCTTTAAAAGTGGCGGATTATTACTCATTATGTCTTCACTTGCAGAGTTTACACCAGACTCGGGTTAATTATTGTTTTCTTTTTGAAACCATTAATGAGGCATGATGACGTAATACTGATTGCTTTCCTCAATTGGTGAAATCTTAAAACTTGTGTTTCAGAGTATTAATACAAAAGTTCTGTCAGTGCAGGCATCATTCACAGATTAATTTAACTATCATAGAGTGAAAGTTTATCAATTGCGTGTTTTGTCTTGCTTGTCAATTTACACATTCATGCGATTTTAAACCATTCACAAGCAAGAAGCGGTGAAAGAGAACTCAATTTGGTACTTGTGCACTGTTTTGTTATGCTTGTGCACACACACACACACACACACACACACACACACACACACACACACACACACACACACACACACACACACACACACAGACACACACAGACAACAAGTTGCACAGATTGCACAGTCAAAATATGTATTGTTATGAAGAAGAAAAAATGTACATCTACAAAGCTCTGGAAGTCAATTTATCATTTGAATGTTTTCTTCTTTAGAGTAAAACTGTCTTGGTGGTTGAATGTACATAAAAATGCATGGATTGTGGTGGTGTACTGGTACATAGCACTCATCAGCACTTCATGGCCCCTGGAATGGTTTGGAATTGGATGTACCTGCTACTTTTGTCATTAATGACACAAGAAATAAAAACAAAGGGCTTTTCACATAACTCTTAAACCTGGGTTATCATCATTCCAAACCCTGGGTAGAGGTACGTTTCATACTAACTTGTAATTTAGAATTTATCCAATCATGACTGTTGACACTGCACATTTTCAAATAAGAACATCAATCCAAAGTTAATGAATGTACAATGTGAAATGTCATATACCTAGAGTTGTATTTGATACCCCCAGTGATACATGATATATTATTGACCCAGGATTCCATTTACCCGGGGTTTACAGTAGATTGACCCAGGGTTAACTATTTCAATTGTGAATAGCCCTTAAATCTTTGGAAGTTTGAGTAGTAGCATGTCAAATATTGCTTTTGGTTTGAGACCCTGAATAAAAAGTGAAATGTGTTATAAGGGGACACTGTACATTCAATATGTATCCAAAATTCTTTACATTTTGTGGCTTTTATTAGTGTGGTTAGCTATTCATAGATTATATTATGAGAATCTGAGGATAGTTGAGACTAATTAAATTACAGAAAATGAAGGAAGACTGTATATTTTTGTCAAATGTTGTGTGTCGATTGTCACAAGGCTTTCTCGTGAGATGAGGAGGATTTCCATTGCAAAGTACAGATTGGCTGCACCGACATCCCACCAGCATCCCCACTGAACCTTTTCATTGAAATGCATGCACACTTTTTGACTGACTTAAAACTAAAATAATCAAGATTAATTTAAAACCTTCTGTGGTAATCTGAATTAGCTTATAAAACATGCAATAAGACAAGAATATCTTAACATTATGAAATAAATGGTTTTCTCTAATACACATTGGCCACAATTATTGGTTTCCCTAGAAATTATTATATGTAAAATCTCTGATGTATATTCACATTTATAATTAATTTTAAGCACACAGGGTAATATTGTCCAGCCATGGTTTCCTGTTTCACAGGACTATTAATATGATGATTCCACCCATTCCATTCTATTCCATCCAAGACAATGAGTAAAGAAAACAAAGAATACAGGTCTGATGTGCAGCAAAAGATTGTTGAGCTTCAAAATAGCACAAAATAGAAATTTAACAAAATGTTAGAAAATAGCGTGAAATATCCATTTCAACCATCAGGACAATAATTAAAAAGTTTAAGAAGAACAGGAAATTTTACGAAATATGAATCTGCCTTGAAGAGGCCATATGTCTATGACCCTATCCCAAAATTCACACTTAATATGCACTTACGGTTTTGTGGACCTAAAATTACTGCTGTGTGCGCATGTCCATTAAGTCCATGTCTTTAGGGGGTCCCGTTTGTCATTTTAGTTTTCAGAACGGTGCTTGTGAGGTTTCACCCCTTTTGCAGTTGATATGCACACTTTTGCTGGGGGACTAGGCCTGCCTCCCGGTTGGTTTAATTTAAGCCTCAATTTAGTCCTGGAGTAGCTCTAGTCTTCCTCCAGGAAATCAGCTTGTTAAACTCTGTACTAGACTAAGTCTTGGAGTATTAAAATCATGATAGAGAAAGTAGATTATTGTCAATCTGGTTTAAAGGGTCATTTTAGTCTAGGACTAGGCCTAATCGCTGTCCGGGAAACCACCCCTATGTCAGCATAAATTTGGCATCATTGAGTTGACACATTCATTCCAAGCTGTCTTGTGAGATCCTCCCCATATGCCTTCTATTCAAATCCATTTTGACAGCTTGCTGCTTGCAAAGTCAGTCTAAACAACACTTTTAAACCGGATCACAGTTATACATCACACAGTACATGAAGACATCATCTAGTCCTATGAGCTCATTTCTCAGCGCATGGCAGTAGATGTTGAACACAGTGACGATAAATGCAGCATGCACAGTACAACCAATGCAGCAGTTTCATACAAAAACACTTCTAATTAAATACACATGCCTCTTTTTTCTTTGTGTCCCTGCAGGGTTGTCAAAGAGGAAGTCTCGGACGATAACGCCAAACTCCCTTGTTTCAATGGAAGAGTGGTGTCATGGGTGAGCTGTGAAAACCTCTGCCTTATATAACATCTGAATCAGAGTGGAAAAGGCAGGCAGTCATGCATTCATATGCCGAGTCGTAAGAAGATACAGCACATAAGCTAAATAATATACTGGACATAAACAGTTTTAGTTCACCGATTCATTATACTAATTAAGTCTGAAAGGCACTTTGAAGTCTTACTGACTAAAGTGCAATCCATAATTCAGGTCATTGCGTTCTGCTGGATGCCATTTTTATTTAGTGCCTTTGAGGCCTTTGCCTGTTACAGTCTTTTGTTTTGAGTTTAGTAGAACAGTTCAAACATAATTTTATTAAGCAAAAAGCATCTGAACTTGACACTTAAGTTTGCTTAAAGGAGTAGTTTACTTTAAAAAAAACTTTTGCTGATAATTTACTCACCCCCATATGATCCAAGATGTCCATGACTTTCTTTCTTCAGTCGAAAAGAAATGAAGGTTTTTGATAAAAACATTCCAGGATTTTTCTCCATAAAATGGACTTGACTGGTAACCAAACGGTTCAAGGTCCAAAAGACAGTTTCAGTGCAAACTGCAAACTGTTCAAAGGGCTTTAAACGATTCCAGACAATGAATAAGGGTCTTAAGGGTCAATTAACAAATTGACTCGGGAAAAGATTCGTTCATTTTGATGAACGAGTTTGAACAGGAGAGTCACGAACGTGCGTCACAGAACAGAGGAAGGCGACCATTTGAGCTTATAAAACTTTGTTATATATATATTTTTAAATGAGCGATCGTTTCGCCTTGATAAGACCCTTATTCATCGTCTGGAATCGTTTAAAGCCCTTTGAACAGTTTGCAGTTTATACTGAAACTGTCTTTTGGACCTTGAACCATTTGGTTACCAGTAAAAGTGCATTATATGGAGACAAATCCTGGAATGTTTTCATCAAAAACCTTCATTTCTTTTCGACTGAAGAAAGAAAGACATGGATATCTTGGATGACATGGGGGTGAGTAAATTATCAGCAAAAGTTTTTTTTAAAGTGAACTACTCCTTTAAAGGATTTCACCCATAAAAGAAAATTCTGTCATCAGTTACCTACTCTCATGTTGTTCCAAACCCATAAGACTTTGTTTATCTAAAAAACACAAAGAAATTGAGATTTCTGCCCCTCCATTGTACATCGGTTCACCCAAAACTCAAACCTCGAGATCGTAAAATCCATATGAATCGCCCTGTGTAATCCAAGTCTTCTGAAGAAACACTGTTGCTTTATTTGATAAACCGATTTAATTTAATATTTTATTCACATGCATCTAAACTTTAATCAGGGATGCACATAGAGTACTCAAAAAGGGTAAACAGAAGCTCAACTGTACTTGCTTGACGCATGAGAACAAACCTTATTGTTTAAAATGTGCTGCCCTGACATGCGAGAATGAACCTCATTGGTTCTCACGAGTCAAGCAAGAATAGGTCCATTTACCATCTGTGTTCATTCACTGATCAATGTTTATATGTAAATAAAAGACTAAATTTCATTTATTCATCATACAAAGAGATCCTGTCTCCTCAGAAGACTTGGATTTAACCACTCGATGCATATTATATTTTTAATTTTCAGAGATGAGTTTGGAACAACACGAAGGTGAGTAATTCTCATTTCAACTCTTTTAAGTTCATCTTTTTGTTAAAATGCATTTATTTGTCTGTTTGTAGCTTGTGTTGGCTGAGAGCTCCCACACAGATGGGATGTCGGTGTGCACTGACAGTCATACTGAGCTTCCCCCACCGCTGGAGCGGACAGGAGGCATCGGAGACTCCAGACCTCCCTCGTTCCAGTGAGTAACACGCATGCCATGTATCATGTGCAACATACACTCCAGAACAAATTCACTACACAGATGCGCCAGTTGTGCGTGTGGTATTTCAGCACAGAAAACCTGACTCATAGGTGGCAAAGTGTGCCAGATTATAATAGTCTAATTAATGATATGCTAAATCTCGCCCTCACGTCAAGGTGATTGTTTACAAGGTAGTTTGTGACGTAAGAAACACCAGCGTTTTTTAACCGAGACTGTCTTCGGTTCACTGCATTTTTAAAGAGAAAATACTCAACAACCGTGTTGACTTAAAAATGTGCATATGGTTGGTCTTAAAGCATATTATAAACACCACATAGACATATAAACAACATTTAAAACTTGATTTTCACCACAGGGTGTCTTTAAGAGGATCGATTCCAGGTTCAGTTGATATCAGAAATGGTATTATCTCTTCATATTGCTGTGATATAATTGCATTATATAACTGAATCGTGTGGGCCTGGTCAAGTGTAATGTTTAGTGTTCTCTGCACAATAGTTATTTAATTGTTAATTTTATGCTGCCATTGAGTTTTATGCTCAACCACTGAAAACATCCATTTATAGCGTGCACCAGATGTGCTGATTATCTCACATGAGTGCACACGCACATACACACTCACATTGGTGATGCTCTCTTTATCCCTCACACATTCTGCGTCCTGCACATGCCGGGTCACCTTAACCTGCACACACACTTCATACACCTCCAAGCTTTTTTTACATGAGGTGAAATCAGATTCCCTGATCGTTTTTGTACATGTACCTCTTCTAAAAAGCTCAAGAATCCCTTCATCGACATCAAACCAGAAATTTGCTCATTTTTAAGGCATGTCTTGTATTTTATGGTAAAAAATGGCCAAATACATATCATCATACTTCCCCAGTTGATTGATTATATTAAATGGGAAAAAATTGTATTACAAGTTTTCTAAAATTTTGTTTGAATATGCAAATTAGGCATCTAATTAAATATTCAATAATTTGCAGACATTTCCAAAAAAAGTCAGGTTAAAAATCTCAAAAATTTGAAATCAAAATTTCATTTTGTTGACTTAATTGAGTCAGAGGTTTTTACTAAATTGGTGTCTCTTTTTATCACTCCATAAATTAGAAAATTCTGTCAACAAATCAATAAATCACCATGTTTTCAATAATAAAATGCAAATGATACATGAAATAAACCTTCAGAATATATATAGGAATAAAACAATATTTTTGGCCATAGTGTCTTGCCTTAAAAAAAAGAATATGTGTTAAATGAAAAAAAAATCATGACTTTAATTACAACGAATTATTTGAATGTGTTGACAACTCATTCAAAGCAAATTCATTTTTAAAGCAAAATCAAAAATGTTCCAAGAAACCCCCTGAAACCTGCTGAAGTAACCCATGGGGAACGTTTACCCCCGACTGGGAATCCCTGATCTACATAATAATCTCTCTCTCTCACACACACAAACACACACACATGCATGTTGATGTTGTGGATGTAGGAATATCAACAGCATAAAGAGAGCAAATCCCTTTGGCTCGTGCTCCCCCACTGGGCTCAGTCATCCAGAAAGCATGAGACACAAATGTTGAAGGGAGTTGTGGTAAACAATGAGTGGTGTATCTGCCCATAGCAGAACATCCAGAAGGGACCTTTTGTAAATCTGCTTCACTGTTATGCAACGGCATGAGCAAGTATAAAATTAAACATAAGAGAGGACGGGAAGAGACATCTTGTGCATATTCATAGAAAATGTCTAGATTGGACTTAACTTAATTATGCAGAATACTTATGATCTAACCAGAAGCGGAAATAGTAATATATCGTGCAAAAAAATGCAAATAGTGAAAGAGAACAGCAGTGTGCAGATGAAAAGGGATATAAATAGAGTAGGGGCGCTGTGATGATAGTGTATGAATGTGTATAAATAGAGAAATAACAAGAATAGTAAACATCTACAAGGACATGATTGATGTAGTAATAATGTAAGGTATAATATATATGCATGGTAAACCTGTACAAAATATATAAAATATTATTTTATAGTTTTTACTAGGGAAAAAAAAACTAACTTGACATTACAGTAAAATTACAATATGTAGGCAATATGTTCTACCAGTTTTTCCACTGTATGTGGTAAGTTTTTACTGTAGCATTTTTACAGGGTTTTTTTCTATAAGTTACTGCATAGCAGAATATATGAAGGCAGCATGCCAAATGATATAATATATGAAAATGAATAATGTGTGTTTTGTGTTGATGAAGTGGGAATTGACTTGAGCCACACATGTGAGGATACGCTGATGTAGATCACTAGTGCTGATGATGTGATATTTCTGCCCTCTTGTGGCTGATTTGTAAACTGCAAAGCACAAACTCATTGGATTATATAATTTTTGAAGTCATGTCCTTAATTTCTAACATTTGTTGACTGACTCGCTGCTTACATTTGTGTCACATGTTGCATTTATGCAGTATACCTTACATTTTTAGAACAACAATAATAAGAATACGCTGTAAAACACTAGCGTTGAAAAGTTCGCGGTCATTTTTTATGTTTTTGAAAAGTTATATTCAGCAGAACTATATTTATTTGATCAAACATACAGTACAGTAAAAACAGCAATGTTGTGAAATATTAACACATTTTAAAATAACTGTTATGTTTATATATATTTTTTAAAATTTATTCCTGTGAAGCTGAATTTTCAGTATCATTACTCCAGTCTTCAGTGTCACATGATCCTTCAGAAATCCTTCTATGTTGATTTGGTGCTCAAGAAACATTTCTTATCATTGTCACTGTTGAAAACAGTTAGATTAATAGAACACTTTGATTAATAGAAAACATTCATTTAAAATTGAAATCTTTTGGAACATTAAAAATGGCTTTTACTGTCACTTTTAATCAATTTAATGAGTCCTTGCTCAATAACAGTAATAAAAGTAAATTATACTGACCAATAGAGTATGTTTCATATAAACATTTATAATGAAAAAATAAATGAATATTTACAATTATTACTAAACTTGTATTTATTACATCAACATTTTTGTATTGAAATAACAAGAACAAAAGTGACTTTTTTTAATCATTAAAAATGTCATTTTTACTGCATGTACAGGATATGTCCTCTTTGCCCTACGGTGTATTTAAAAGTATTATATCTTCCGGAAAGGACAAACTCATTTTTGGCGTAAGGTAAAAAAAATACAAAAGGTTATCACATTCAGGGGTCATACACACACACACACACACATTTATAGGCTACCTTTACTATATGGTGGAATAAATCTTTCACCTCACTCAGATTTCTACTGAAAGCACATATAGATGTTCATGCTTGCACAAAGACACACTTTGCTGCCCCAAGGGTGTAATTCAAAAAACGATTTTTCATGATGAAACCCCCTATGTGTCATTACCATTATTCTGTTTCTCTCTCGCTCGTTCTCTTCCCCTTTCTGCCCTTCTCAGAAAAAGGCTAAAATAGTTTGCATTCCAGCACTTACATGTATATCTTACATGCACATACAATGTTTTTCAGAGCTCATGCTGCATATGTTTCTGTGTGCATGTTTGCTACAGTGCTAATGCAGTGAACAGCAGAGACGGTCTGGACACGGAAACTGGAAGTGAGTCTGTTCTCCGCCACCGCAGAGAGCGGGAAAGAGAAAGGACAAGACGGAGGAGAGATGAATGTGAGTGTAGCTACAAGATTTTGTCTAAATACTGTACTTTTAACATAGGCAGGGTTCCTACAACTTTTCCATTTCAAAATTCTATACTTTTCCAGACTCAAATTTCACACCATATTTAATAGAAAATCGTACAGTCTGATTTAGATGATTGCTGGTTTGGCTTATGGTAAAGACGAACAGGTTCGCGTAATGAAAATGTGTGCCTTGAATTCATTCAGTCCTTTTCAACGATCACTTAACTTTTGCCATGAAAACACTCTGCTTGTACGATAATTATAATTATTTTTTTTTAATTCTTAATTTTATATTTAGAAAACTGAAATGGAGCAATAGTTTAGAAACACATTTTATTTATTTTTTATACTTGGAAATGACTCAAATCTGTACTTTTCCATACTGTGTAGGAACCCTGCATAGGTGACCAAATCCCTGCTGTACATGCCACTTTATTTTGCATTCGTACACAAAGATGATATAATCATGGCTTGATCCTACTCTGAGCATGACAAATGTTTTACGCCCTCTTATGAAGGATATTTGCCTCATTGGTGTGCTGAATATATTCGTCTTTTCAAACTGAGGTCAAAAAGTCACCTCTTTTTGTGTATGTTTATAGTGGTGTTCTCATCTTTGTCTTTTTGTGTATGCATTTGTTTGTTTTTAGCTCATTTATAAAGTCTTAATTTATCCATAATTACCTGCCATGACAGACTGAAACGACTTCATCTTTTTTAAATACGTTCTCACATTAATATTACGGAAGAATACAAATGAAGCAATCTGTCATTTAAATGACACTTGCATACATTCTCGTATTTCTGTATTTGTTCTTGAGCTTCCATTGATTGTTTGCACAATACATAACTGCACAAATAAAGACACATTAATACAATGTACAATGGCACTTTTTGTTGTAAAATACTTATTTACAACAACAGGCGTCACACACAGAACAGAATCACACACCCTTCCTGTCGTCTATTCAACATAGTCCTCACCCTTACAAAACAAATCCTTTCTCTCACACAAACACACCCAGACCTCTCAGAATAATTTATCTGTGTTTGTGATGGTAGCGCAGGTCTCTCTGTTGGCCCATTAGTTCCCGCTGATCATTAATCAGTGTGGCTTAATTAGCTGGCCAGTCTGGAAACAGTGTCAGTGGTGACAGTGCAACACTCCTTGAGTTCTGAATTAATAGGACAAAAAAGAGAAAAAAATATTAGGTTTACAAGATGCACTGTTCCTCTGGGAATAGCCAGGCAGTATCTAGGGATTCTGAGTCTCTGACTGAATTTTGTGCTGTGGCCCTTTCCTATTTGTGAACAAAATGCAACATAGGAATGTGGATTTAATTCTTTTCTCTTTTTTTTCAATGCAAAACACAAAGAATTTTACTTATGTAACATACTAATACAGATAGGTAAATAAAAAGAAATAAAAAGATAAAAAATTAAATAAAAGACAACAGTGGGAGGGATGTGGCTTTATGCACCCTACACAGACAATATGTCATGGGCAACAAATCCAGTTTTTATCATTTTCAAATTTAGGCTACAACATTTGTTGTAGCTTTATTAAAATATTTACATAGGCTATTAAATAAAATGTAGCTGTCCTAAAAGACTCGGATGTATGTTTTTTTTAACAACATGGAAAACAGTTATTTAGGCGAAATAAACAACAGTTATTACTTTATTTCCACACATACAAGCTAACGTTACACTTCATTGTATCCTCAAATGTCTGTTTAGAAGCTTTTGTCACCCCTCGACGCGGGCAAACTTTGCCTCGTAAATTATAATTGCACAGTAGGCTACATGATGATTATTTTCACGCTCGAGCAGAGACTGCGAAAATCGAAATGGTCGCGCGCTCGTTGTCGACGCGCTGCTGCTGTTGATGAATGACAGCGCGCGTCTGGCGAGAGCGCGAGCAGAAGGGGAGGATAATAAATTCATATCGCGCGCTCCCGCGGGAGTTCTTCTGTCTGTGTAGTAGTTTATTTGTGTGCACCGGCGGAGAGAAGCTCTTCTGTCGTTAGCGCTTTCTAAAGGTAAGGCGACTTTTTATTTAATTTTAAAATAAACAAAATTCGGGTAGGCTATTCATTTTATAATGTTTTGTAGTGCTATTGCTAAATATTAATTTATCACAAAGACATACGTATTTGGGTTGTGTTTGTTAAGAGCAAGTGAATATATTATCTATTATAAAGAAATAAAAGATATATTCAGAATGCTAGACTTGTAAACTGCTGCAAATAAATAAAATAAAATAGTTTTCTTAATCAGTATATTTTTACAATATTTAAAAAAGATTTAAAATTTTTTCATTGTTTTCGTATCCTATATTTATTTATTTTTTAAAACTAATTTTTGATTATTTTACGTTAAACTAAATTTGTAAGAATGAAAACTATGAATTAACTACAATTTTAACCAGCATGGGAAGAATTTTCAATAGATTGCAACATAACATGCTGCCTTTGTGAATCACTCATGTAATATATTGTTATTTTATCCTGCTAAACGTGATATATCTGTAGTCTGGGTTTAAATCGGCTGCTTACACAAATAGTGGTGATGTATTGAGTAATTTGTTTCCATTTCGTTGCCTGAAGTCAAACATGGCTCTGTAATGGATTGCCTTTGCCTAGTTTGCTTTATGTAGATGTGCATTAAGCTATATCGCCATCTTTTGTCGCTTGTTTGCTCTACATCTGTAGCCTGAATAAAAACACAGAATAGAAATGAAATTTAAACATATTTTGTTCTCCATTAGTCTTGTGCATTTCCTTACTCACTATCAATTTCACTCCCCCCCACATCTCTTTTGTTCTACAGCCTGTCTTTGTGTTAATCAAACTTTCATCAAACTAATTTAGTAATGACTGCAAGTGCATGGTAAATAAATTCAAAAGACTGGCATGTGAGTGAGCATATCAGACAGTATGAGAGAGCGATATCAGCCTGTTGACAGAAGCACTGGCAGCCCAACTCTCCTGGAGTGTTTCGGGTTCCACCAGAGGCGATACCAAAAGCCCAGCTCACTGAGATGCCACCGCCTCACCAGAGCCTTCCAGCCAATTAGATGCCACCCTGAGGCAGAGCCACGCCCACAGGAGTGTATGTTTTCCCTGTTTTTAAGTTTGTCGCTCAAGGTGCGATCAAGCCATGAATATACCCAAATATATGGTTCTCTTTGTTAGTGTTTTGTTGTTTCAACAAGGCATTCACAAGCTTGCTGTGTGCATGATTTGTTCTTAGTCCCACGTGTGAACGGTCACACAAAAGCCGAGCGGGTGGTGAGGGACTCGGCCATGGGCTGTGACAGTGGCTCTATGATGAGCAGTGAGCTGGAGTCAAGCTCCTTCATTGACAGCGAGGAGGATGAGGATGCTAGCAGGTTTGGAATGATATAAAGCATAAACTTTTTGACATTTTGACTCATTCAATTTTGGCTCAGATTGTATTCAATAATCTGTCTGTTCTTCTCTTCTATGTTTGTCTCTCTCAGGCTGAGCAATTCCACAGAGCAGAGCTCTTCTTTTCAGTTAATGAAGAGACATAAGCGCAGGCGCAGGCGGCACAAAGTGGCTAAAATCGACAGGGTTAGAAATGTGTGTGTGTGTGTGTTTGCTTGTGTGCACTGTTCCTACTTAACCATATATTGGGGACAAATTTGTATCCAGAAAAGAGCTAAATCTGACAAAACATCCCAAAATCTTAGAGCTTAGGTTATACTATTTATAAATAACTATATAAAAAACAATAGAGGTCTATGTTTGAATTCAGCCAGGTAAATGTGTGTGTGTATGTGCATATATGTATATATATATGTGTTTGACTTCTTAGGGTTTCATGTATCTCCTTTGCTTTCGTATCCACAGTCATCTTCCTTCAGTAGTATCACAGATTCAACCATGAGCCTCAACATAATCACAGTTACCCTCAATATGGGTAAGATCAGCTTGCCTTTTACATGTACCCGTACAGTGTGACACAAATTCATCACTTCCGTGTTTTCTCTTGTTTGCACAGAGAAATATAACTTTCTCGGCATCAGTATAGTGGGCCAAAGTAACGATAGAGGAGATGGTGGCATCTACATTGGCTCTATCATGAAGGGAGGAGCGGTGGCAGCAGATGGGAGGATAGAGCCAGGCGACATGCTGCTGCAGGTATATTGTAGTCTGCAAAGGCACTTCTTGAGAATATTCATTTCTGTTTGTGGTCAATTTAGTCTGGTTTAAACAATTTTGGTACGTAGTTGTTTGTGTAAACTTTGACAGTACCAAAGAGGCTGTTATTGCAACATTAAATACATTAAGCAGAACATCAGCTTTTTGAAAACTTTTGTCCCCCAGCAACACACGTTATTTAATGATTTACTGTTTTTAAACGAATCGGGTGAGTCAATGATTCAATTGCCCATCCATAAACTCGTGCTGAATTCGGAACCGCTTACTAGCATACTACTCCTACTTTTTTTCTTATATCATTCTATGGCAAAAATATTAAGAGTTTCGAATTCAACATCAGTGGACTCTTCCTGCTTTCATGAGTAAATCAGCTGGTTTGAACGAATCAGTTGAATTAATGATTCTATGATTCACTTATAACGACTTGCCTTCACCTACTAGTGGTTTTAGTTTCATAATAGTATCATTTCATTTTTCCCAACATATTTATATATTCAAAATGTAATATTTAGTTCAAACAAATTTGGTTCCCATTAATTTCCATGGCATTTTTGTCATACAATGTAAGTCAGTGGGAACCAAACCTGCTTGGTTACCTATAATCTTTAAATTTTTTATTTTTTGGGTGGACTATCCCTTTAAAAACACCTAATAGATCCGTTTTTCAGTTCAAATAGCAGATTAGTGTAATGCAGTGGATTGCTCCGCCAGTGGTGTATTAAAGTGATATAACACATTTTATATTTAAATGTATTTGCATTCGTTTTTAAGGATGAGATTTGGCCTCTAGCTCTGTGGCTTTAGTAGTGATTGTCTCTGGATCCAAATACAGCCTTCACATGCCTCCAGCAGCTGCTGATCCCTGTTGAGTGGCAGATTACGGTTATAGTTATGGATTAGACTGCGTATTTATACCGGCATTGCACAGTTTGGCACACTGATATTATTAACATTACCTTAAGGTAATTACCTTAAGATCAGTTAAATGCAAATTATTTTGCTGCTTTTATTTACAGAAACTTAGAAGGTCCCAGTTGACCTTGGTATGAATTTCTCAAAGAGGCTCATAATATTGCTCTGCCTTAATGCTAACATGTGTGTATGCTGCATTTTGACTTGCAGGTAAATGATGTGAACTTTGAGAACATGAGCAATGACGATGCTGTCAGGATCCTCAGAGAGATTGTCTCAAAGAATGGGTAAGAATAAACATGTCTGACTTGTAACATTGGACATGAGGCTTAGATGTAAATGTGTTTTAACTAACCATTGTACTTGTGTTCTGTAGTCCTATCAGTCTCACTGTTGCCAAATGCTGGGACCCTTCGCCTCGCAGTTACTTTACAATACCCAGAGGTCAATACACACAAACTCTTTATCTATGCTTCTTTCAGATAAACATAAGCTAGGTATGGAGATACTTGTCCATTTATCTGACTTATCTGACCTGTTTTTTCCCTCCCAAAGCTGAACCAGTAAGACCCATTGACCCGGCTGCATGGATTTCCCACACTACTGCACTAACAGGATCTTACCCACAAAACGGTACAGTCTTTTCTCTCTGACAGATCACAGCATCTCTTTTTTTGTTGCAAAGCATTATCCTAATCATCCTGTTGTCCTTCACAGAGTTTGACGATCTCCCTCTGACAGTGGGAAAAACAGACATGGCCACCATTGTAAAGGTGATGCAGGTCCCAGACTCAGGACTAGAAATAAGGGACAGGATGTGGCTGAAGATTACTATATCTAATGCTGTAATAGGTAACGTGTCTTTTGCATTCATCACCTGTGAAAATATCTCACTCATGTTATTCATGTTGATGATGTTTTAAAAATGTGTAAAGCAGTGTTATTTTTGTATTGAGATACTATTATATTTTTAGTCATATTTTGAAGGAGATATGTTGAATTGCAAAACACTTGCGCTGATATTGAGGTGGGATACGGGTAATGTTAGTTACAGGTTTGGTGGTATGGATAGGTTTTAATAGTTGGTTAAGGGGTAATGGAAGAGTCAGCAGTGTAATAATAAATGTAATTACAGAAATTATTTACCGCTGTAATTACATGCAGGTAGTTTTTCAATATATGTATACAAGTACTATGTGTGTATGTATGCAAAGTAATGATTAATTGAAATGATTACACTTTTTATATATTTTATATTTTATTACTTGGGGTGTAATGATTCATCTACAACATCGATTTATCGATTTATATTCAAATGATCCAACTACATCGAACTGCGTCTGCATATATCGATCTAAAATCGTTTTAAAAGTTAATCAATCGATTGTATCGATACTAGGAAATTGAATTTAAGCACGTCAGACTTATATGGCTGTTTTTTTTTAACTTTAGTTTTAATGACACAGGCGTTAAACGTTACCCGATTCAGTCTGCCTATCTGTGACGTTATCAGCAGCAGCGCAAAGACAACATAGCATGGCGAATGACAAGGAGAAGCCGACGAGCGAGAAATGATCAGTGTGTGAGAACACATTGGCTTTTGTAAAGACGGAGATGTTCTAAATGAGTCACACGCTGTTTGTAGGACATGTAATGTTTGTAGGACATGTCTCTATCAGAATCCAGAGTTTCAAGAAGATCAGAGAAACTCAATTTTGACCCCAAAAAAAAAAACCGATAGGGGTACCCCTGTCGTTTTTTTCGGGGCGTTTATGCCATTATAAATATCTCAATATCTCAGCTCTGGAAGGGTCTAGAGCCTCAATTTTTGCACTCCGGTCTAAGTCTCATGGCCCTCTATCAGAATCCAGAGTTTCAAGAAGATCAGAGAAACTCAAAATTTCGACCCCCTCAAAAAAACGACAGGGGTACCCCTGTCGTTTTTTTCGGGGTGTTTATGCCATTATAAATATCTCAGCTCTGGAAGGCTCTAGAGCCTCCTTTTTTGCACTCAGGTTCAAGTCTCGTGGCCCTCTATCAGAATCAAGAGTTTCAAGAAGATCAGAGAAACTCAAAATTTCGACCCCCCCCCCAAAAAAAACGACAGGGGTACCCCTGTCTTTTTTTCGGGGCGTTTATGCCTATATAAATATCTCAATATCTCAGCTCTGGAAGGGTCTAGAGCCTCCATTTTTGCACTCAGGTCCAAGTCTCATGGCCCTCTATCAGAATCCAGAGTTTCAAAAAAAATAAATAAGAGAAACTCAAAATTTCGACCCAAAAAAAAAATAAAACGAAAGGGGTACCCCTGTCGTTTTTTGGGGGTCATTTATGCCATTATAAATATCTCAATATCTCAGCTCTGGAAGGGTTTAGAGCCTCCATTTTTGCACTCAGGTCTAAGTCTCATGGCCCTCTATCAGAATCCAGAGTTTCAAGAAGATCAGAGACACTCAAAATTTCGACCCCAAAAAAAACGACAGGGGTACCTCTGTCGTTTTTTTCGGGGCGTTTATGCCATAATAAATATCTCAATATCTCAGCTTTGGAAGGGTCTAGAGCCTCCATTTTTGCACCAGGTGTAAGTCTCGTGGCCCTCTATCAGAATCCAGAGTTTTGGGAAGATTGGAGAAACTTAATTTTTCGCCCAAAAAAAAAAAAACGTAAGGGGTACCACTGTCGTTTTTTTTTCGGGCCGAATTTTTGAGTTTCGATATCTCAGCTCTGGAAGGGGCTAGAGCCTCCATTTTTGCACTCAGGTCTAAGTCTCATGGCCCTCTATCAGAATCCAGAGTTTTGGGAAGATTGGAGAAACTTAATTTTTCGCCCAAAAAAAAAAACGTAAGGGGTACCACTGTCGTTTTTTTTTTCGGGCCGAATTTTTGAGTTTCGATATCTCAGCTCTGGAAGGGGCTAGAGCCTCCATTTTTGCACTCAGGTCTAAGTCTCATGGCCCTCTATCAGAATCCAGAGTTTTGGGAAGATTGGAGAAACTTAATTTTTCGCCCAAAAAAAAAAACGTAAGGGGTACCACTGTCGTTTTTTTTTTCGGGCCGAATTTTTGAGTTTCGATATCTCAGCTCTGGAAGGGGCTAGAGCCTCCATTTTTGCACTCAGGTCTAAGTCTCATGGCCCTCTATCAGAATCCAGAGTTTTGGGAAGATTGGAGAAACTTAATTTTTCGCCCAAAAAAAAAAAACGTAAGGGGTACCACTGTCGTTTTTTTTTTCGGGCCGAATTTTTGAGTTTCGATATCTCAGCTCTGGAAGGGCTAGAGCCTCCATTTTTGCACTCAGGTCTAAGTCTCATGGCCCTCTATCAGAATCCAGAGTTTTGGGAAGATTGGAGAAACTTAATTTTTCGCCCAAAAAAAAAAACGTAAGGGGTACCACTGTCGTTTTTTTTTCGGGCCGAATTTTTGAGTTTCGATATCTCAGCTCTGGAAGGGGCTAGAGCCTCCATTTTTGCACTCAGGTCTAAGTCTCATGGCCCTCTATCAGAATCCAGAGTTTTGGAAGATTGGAGAAACTTAATTTTTCGCCCAAAAAAAAAAAACGTAAGGGGTACCACTGTCGTTTTTTTTTCGGGCCGAATTTTTGAGTTTCGATATCTCAGCTCTGGAAGGGGCTAGAGCCTCCATTTTTGCACTCAGGTCTAAGTCTCATGGCCCTCTATCAGAATCCAGAGTTTTGGGAAGATTGGAGAAACTTAAATTTTCGCCCCAAAAAAAAAACGTAAGGGGTACCACTGTCGTTTTTTTTTCGGCCGAATTTTTGAGTTTCGATATCCAGCTCTGGAAGGGGCTAGAGCCTCCATTTTTGCACTCAGGTCTAAGTCTCATGGCCCTCTATCAGAATCCAGAGTTTTGGGAAGATTGGAGAAACTTAATTTTTCGCCCAAAAAAAAAAACGTAAGGGGTACCACTGTCGTTTTTTTTTTGGGCCGAATTTTTGAGTTTCAATATCTCAGCTCTGGAAGGGGCTAGAGCCTCCATTTTTGCACTCAGGTCTAAGTCTCATGGCCCTCTATCAGAATCCAGAGTTTTGGGAAGATTGGAGAAACTTAAATTTTCGCCCCAAAAAAAAAAACGTAAGGGGTACCACTGTCGTTTTTTTTTTGGGCCGAATTTTTGAGTTTCGATATCTCAGCTCTGGAAGGGGCTAGAGCCTCCATTTTTGCACTCAGGTCTAAGTCTCATGGCCCTCTATCAGAATCCAGAGTTTTGGGAAGATTGGAGAAACTTAATTTTTCACCTGAAAAAAAAAAACGTAAGGGGTACCACTGTCGTTTTTTTTTCGGGCCGAATTTTTGAGTTTCGATATCTCAGCTCTGGAAGGGGCTAGAGCCTCCATTTTTGCACTCAGGTCTAAGTCTCATGGCCCTCTATCAGAATCCAGAGTTTTGGGAAGATTGGAGAAACTTAATTTTTCGCCCCAAAAAAAAAACGTAAGGGGTACCACTGTCGTTTTTTTTTTCGGGCCGAATTTTTGAGTTTCGATATCTCAGCTCTGGAAGGGGCTAGAGCCTCCGCTCTGGAAGGGGCTAGAGCCTCCATTTTTGCACTCAGGTCTAAGTCTCATGGCCCTCTATCAGAATCCAGAGTTTTGGGAAGATTGGAGAAACTAAATTTTTCGCCCAAAAAAAAAAAAACGTAAGGGGTACCACTGTCGTTTTTTTTTTCGGGCCGAATTTTTGAGTTTCGATATCTCAGCTCTGGAAGGGGCTAGAGCCTCCATTTTTGCACTCAGGTCTAAGTCTCATGGCCCTTTATCAGAATCCAGAGTTTTGGGAAGATTGGAGAAACTTAATTTTTCACCCAAAAAAAAAACCGTAAGGGGTACCACTGTCGTTTTTTTTTCGGGCCGAATTTTTGAGTTTCGATATCTCAGCTCTGGAAGGGGCTAGAGCCTCCATTTTTGCACTCAGGTCTAAGTCTCATGGCCCTCTATCAGAATCCAGACTTTTGGGAAGATTGGAGAAACTTAATTTTTCACCCAAAAAAAAAAACGTAAGGGGTACCACTGTCGTTTTTTTTTTCGGGACGAATTTTTGAGTTTCGATATCTCAGCTCTGGAAGGGGCTAGAGCCTCCATTTTTGCACTCAGGTCTAAGTCTCATGGCCCTCTATCAGAATCCAGAGTTTTGGGAAGATTGGAGAAACTTAATTTTTCTCCCGAAAAAAAAAACGTAAGGGGTACCACTGTCGTTTTTTTTTCGGGCCGAATTTTTGAGTTTCGATATCTCAGCTCTGGAAGGGCTAGAGCCTCCATTTTTGCACTCAGGTCTAAGTCTCATGGCCCTCTATCAGAATCCAGAGTTTTGGAAGATTGGAGAAACTTAATTTTTCTCCCAAAAAAAAAAACGTAAGGGGTACCACTGTCGGTTTTTTTTTCGGGACCAATTTTTGAGTTTCGATATCTCACTCTGGAAGGGGCTAGAGCCTCCATTTTTGCACTCAGGTCTAAGTCTCATGGCCCTCTATCAGAATCCATAGTTTTGGGAAGATTGGAGAAACTTAATTTTTCGCCCAAAAAAAAAAAAACGTAAGGGGTACCACTGTCGTTTTTTTTCGGGCCGAATTTTTGAGTTTCGATATCTCAGCTCTGGAAGGGGCTAGAGCCTCCATTTTTGCACTCAGGTCTAAGTCTCATGGCCCTCTATCAGAATCCAGAGTTTTGGGAAGATTGGAGAAACTTAATTTTTCGCCCCCAAAAAAAAAACGTAAGGGGTACCACTGTCGTTTTTTTTTTCGGGCCGAATTTTTGAGTTTCGATATCTCAGCTCTGGAAGGGGCTAGAGCCTCCATTTTTTGCACTCAGGTCTAAGTCTCATGGCCCTCTATCAGAATCCAGAGTTTTGGGAGAGATTGGAGAAACTTAATTTTTCGCCCAAAAAAAAAAAACGTAAGGGGTACCACTGTCGTTTTTTTTTTTCGGGGGCGAATTTTTGAGTTTCGATATCTCAGCTCTGGAAGGGGCTAGAGCCTCCATTTTTGCACTCAGGTCTAAGTCTCATGGCCCTCTATCAGAATCCAGAGTTTTGGGAAGATTGGAGAAACTTAATTTTTCGCCCAAAAAAAAAAACGTAAGGGGTACCACTGTCGTTTTTTTTTCGGGCCGAATTTTTGAGTT